ACAAGACCATGGACTTACTGGCTGCAAAGAACACGGGTTGCGTGGACAGTAGCATTGCCGGGAATTGGAGCAACAACAACAGACATTTCGAGCAAGTATTCACGCCAGACGTCTATTACGGTAATTTCGCTGCGACCGAGCATTCGACCGACCTGGACGTCAACATATGTGGCCCCAGTGTGACGGAGAAAAGCATAAAGACGCAACATGTCGAGCCTTTCCTCCTTTGTAGAGTACAGGGAACGAAGGAAATCCTTCCCCCGTGGTACTCGACTATACTTCTGGAATATTATAATGGACGTCCAAAATCATCCTCAGGAATTTAAGAATATTTTTGACCAATCGATGACAATAATATCTACATCTGACGTGCACAAGATGTCAAAGTAATATGTATAAAGTAATATTGCCTTTTGGCTGAGCGATTTTGGTGACCGTTGTCATTCGTTTTGACCCCTCTCAACTATTACCATATTAACCTAATTCCAGAAATATCTTGAACATCGCACCAGAGCGAAATTGTTTTCATCTTATCGCACTAAGAAGATAACTGCGCTCAATCATTAGTTAAGTTAAGACGTGCAATCTACCTTCCTCATTATACCTGGGACATTTATCCGGTCACTCGCAACAACAGAAATATCTTGTGCGCTGTTTTGAACAACAATTTACTTCAACATTGCGCAATTTGGGTTAGAATACCGTAGACTGTTCTCACGAAATGCACCAACACCCCTCGCGAGTTCATGTATCATTGGTTTGCCATCAGCGAAAATGCTGGCCTATAGTAGTTGCCCATATTTTAAGACTCGCTCAGGAAGAATCTGAACAATACAGATATCAATACAAAATACAAAATAATATAAGATTGTACAAGACAATATAATTAGTCGATTCACTCTTTGGGCGTGGGGCCAACTGACGAGCAAGCTGATCTACCAGCAAGTGGTTCCGCGAAATATCTGGTGTCCACAGCCAAGAAGAAGCTGGCCATGATACCACGATTGATTGCCGATGGGGTTGAAGTGCCTTGTGGGGTATCCAATCTCTCGTCCACAAAGGCTCCTTCTCAGTGATGGTTTGATTTACTGGAAGTATTAACTAGATGTGAATGTACTAGTAGTACTTTTAACTTGGTCGCAATAAGTTGGTCGCGAGCACTCACTGACGTCGAAATTACAAAATTTTGGCCAATAACAACGCAGTCCTCATCAGCTGAAAAAGTTCTACTACCTCCATCCGAAAAAGAATGTCCGACTTGAGGTTTGTTGAAATCCGAATAAGAATGTCCGATTTGAATCTGGAACCGAGTTCATTCACAAAGCAAGATATACATAAATCGAAACTTTACATCAAAAGCTGAAGGATCTCCATCGCAATCAAAGTGAGGCCGCAATCATCTTCGTCCTTGACATTGAGGGACTCCATGA